GCTTAATGGAATTGAGGCCTCCCTCAGGCTCTGCACTGACAATGCAGAGCCTGCTTGGGATTTTCTCTCTCCCCCTCTCTATGTCCCTTCCCTACTCATACTCTTTCTCTCTCTCAAAATAAATAAATAAACATTAAATTAATTAATTAATTAAAATAAAAATTATTTGTTTCATCATTGGTTTATCTGTTGCTGCATCACAAACCAGCCATATATTTAATAATTTAAAAGAATGACAATGTAACATTTCTCATAATTCTATTAGTTAATCTGGTAGTTCTTCCACTTCACATGATATTGTCTGGGATGCTGGATTAACAAGAAAATCCAACATGATGTCATTCACATGGCTGTAAGTCGGTGCTGGCCATTGGCTGGGAGTTTAGATTGAAGTATTTTCTGGGACCTCAGTTCTCCTCCAAGTGGTTTCTTGGGCTTTTCCATAGCTTAGTGTCTAAGTTTCAGGAAGTATTGCCCCAAGAGAGTAACTCCCAATGTACAAGTGCTTATCAAGTCTCCGGTTGCATCAAATTTGCCAAATTCCCATTTTTCAAAGCTTGTCAGGTGGCCAAGCCCAGAGTCAACAAGGGAGAGAATACCAGGTGATAAGGTTCACTAAGGGCCACAAAAGTACACTCCACAAAGCACCCCTGGCCTCTAACGTGTCCTACCCGTCCCATATTCAAAATACACTTACCGTCTCCAGAGCTCTCAAGGTCTTATCAAGTACAGAGTCTCATCTAAGTCAGATCTAGATGTAACCAAGGTCTCCTGAGTGGAGTTCTTTTTGATCTAAAGAAGTATTAACTAAAGACACAAGTTTTCTGATCCTCACACAGTCAACATACAATGAAGATGCAAGGCAAGGAAAACTTCAAGAGGTACTTCTGCTCAAAAAGGTTGAAAATGAGAAGCACACAGCAGTTACTGGTCCCTAGCAATTATGAAATCCAGCCAAACACATGTAGCCAGTTTTTTGTTTTGTTTTGTTTTTATCATGACCCAGTTCTATCTCCTGAGAGTGATTTTCTGTAGCTCTTACCTCCACCCTCTGTGCTCTAGACCTTGTTCTGAGCTATCCTTATATTTCCAAGAGAAATGACCCAGGTTTGCAGCTAAGTTTTTTCCTCGGCTTGCTTCCTCCACCCCAGCGGAGTTTGAGGATCTTGAGGCATCTTCTCATTTTGAATTTGTCTCTATCCTTTTAATCTAGGCCAGTATAGTTCCAGTATATACTTTGCTTTTTTATGTATCAAATTATAACTCAACCTAACAAACAAAATCACACTCGCAAATCTCTTCAAGACAATCCTCTCTCTGTTTAGGGCATGAAGGTCAGAACCATATGGGAAAATACTCTTTAGACTCTCAGAAGTATTCTTGTCTGAGAGGATCTTTGAGATACTCCTTACATCTCTCATATCTTATAACAGAGACCTTGACCCTGAACCCATATTTCACTACCCGCACGTTGGATTTAATCTTCAAACCAAGGCCATTTCTCACTTTGAGAATTTTCTTTGTAGAGATTGGGGGTGAAAAACAATTTTATTATCAAACCCACATGTTCTAGCACCTCTTTAGTTCTAAATTCTGCTTGAAACCTGAACAATTCATTCTTTGTTTCAGCTTGTTCTTCCTGTACTCTAGCATAGGAGCTAAAAGAAGCCAGTGGCACTTTCCACAATCTTCCCAGAAATCTCCTTAGTCAGATCCATGAATTCAGTAGGTACCCTCTCTATTCCCTGTAATACTACAGACAAACAGTTTTGATCATTGCTCTGCCAACACATAACTTAGGTTCTCTGTTCTTCAGCTTTTCCAATGGGAATTTCCTCACTGCCCTTACAGACTCCACTAACAGTCTCTTTGTAACTCTTCCAAATTTCTCCCTTCCTTCTACCAAACTCGAAATCAATGCTATGTGTTATGGCAAGAACCCACTTCCAGGTAATAGTTTCTTTTTTAGTTATCTGTTGCTGCATAACCACCCCCAAACTTAACCACTTATCACAATTTATTACTTCCTTTTTTAAATGTTTATTTATTTTTGAGAGAGAGAGCATGAGCAGGGGAGGGACAGAGAGAGAGGGAGACAGAGAATCTGAAGCAGGCTTCAGGCTCTGAGCTGCCAGCACAGAGCCCACCACAGGGCTCAAACCCACAAATTACAAGATCATGACTTGAGCTGAAGTCGGACGCTTAAATGACTGAGTCACCCAGGTGCCCCACAATTTATTACTTCTTCCATCTCTGTGGGTTGACCTAGAGGTTATTATGCTTCACATGTTGTAGGCTGATAGGCTTTAGATTTTAGAAAATCTAAAATGGATTCACATACATGGCTGGAAATTGGTACTGGCTACTGGCTAGGAGCTCAGTTGGAGTTGGCTGAAGGGCCTCAGTTCTCCTTCAGGTGGGCTTCTCTCATGGTTGCTCATGCTTTCTCCTGCATGGTGGATGGGTTCCTAGAAGTATCCCAAAATAATAAGGCCCAATGTGCAAGGACTTACCAGCCCTTTGCTTGCATCACCCTTGCTAATGTTCCACTGGCCCAAACTCGTAACATGGCCAAGCCCAAAATCAGTATGTAACAGACTAATAAGAGTACAAATACAAAGAAGATTGGTTCATTGAGTGCCACCAAAGTTAACAGTGTACCACAGCCCTCATATCAACACTTGATTTATTTTTGGTTGAGCAAATGATTAGTGCATGCTTGTCATTATAAAACCATGTTGTTAATTATAAGACAAAATAAATTTGTTTTTATAAATTTTTATTTTAGTTTTCTAAAATCATACCTATCAAATCTGTTTTACATTGTCTACTATGACATTTTGGTCCTCACTTTAAGTGGATTCCATTTGAGTGGACTTTTTCTGGTTATTTTGTCTCCTGTTTAGTTTTTGTGCCTTAATTTCACTGTCAGGTCAATAACCCTTTGCAGGGGAGGAATGAGTCACAAAACAGAATTTGGGCATCTTCAGTCCTTGGAAATAATACCATCATAATAACACCCACACATCAACCCTTAAGATGAGATAGTTGTTATTTTTTTTTTAACTTTAGTCATAAAGAATTAAATGATCATTCTCCCAGCAGCTTTCTAGGCACCAATAACCAGATGTGGCTTGATATTATATACAATAGTACCTTCCTCATCAAGTCTTAACCTACAGCTTTTACAAACTGCTTCTGTATGAGATTTCTACAGAAATTAGATCTGAAAGGCCTATAGACTTTACAAAAAACATGTAAACAAAGGTGTACTTTTAAAATAGAGGTTTAATTTTTATCTCTGCTACATGTTTAAGTTTAAATGAAACTTTAATGGTTTTTTGGGTTTTGGTTTTTATTTATTTCTGAGAGAGAGAGAGGCAGCATGAACAGGGGAGGGTCAGAGAAAGAGAGACACACACAGAATCTGAAACAGGCTCCAGGCTTTGAGCTAGCTGTCAGCACAGAGCCGGATGCAGGGCTCTAACCCACGAACCGCGAGATCATGACCTGAGCTAAAGTCGGACACTTAACCGAGTGAGCCACCCAGGCACCCCTAAATGAAACTTTAAAGAGTGAGAATACACTGTGTTTTATAATACTGTGCAGTCTACACTTGGCATGGGATAGCTGGATATGTCTTCTTTACATAATGATAGAAAAAAATCTGAAGTGCTTGAATTCACTGAGACTTAGAAAACACTCTTTCATTCTCATTTAATCCTTGATGAAATTACAGGTAAGTTGTTTTAAAAAGGGGGGAATTGAAAGTCCAACCAAAAAGTATATATGTTGACCATTTTGCTTTTCTCCCATGAGATTCATAGTTTAATCATATAATAGTCAATGTAACATAAGCTTTTTTTTTCTTTTTTTAATGCCAGCATAAATCTGACAGGTAGTGTAACTGAAACTAATCAAAATGCTTCCACAGAGCCATGATTTTAACAGTGCTGTTTTGGACCTCCCAAGGGTGTTGTTACCTATTTTTCATTTCCTTTTCTTGAACAGTTCTATCATTTCACCAGGCCCGAACTTTCCGTTCGTTTCACGTGTCTTCATAAGCGATTAACAAAGGATGCCCCCCTCCTTGGCGCTTTGTCATTTTGACTTCAGTTTCCATGGCAATCTCAAGTCATTTTTAAAAGACCTGTAAATGTTGCTTCAATATGAGTTCTGTTTCTGCAAACCGAAAACAAAACTGCCAAAGGCAAACCAGCTGGCCTGTCACCAAGCGGGAAGCTAGGACCTTTATTACGGATGAGTTTGTGAGAAGCATCAGCACCTGGGTTCATAGGTGCATCTCAGTAGTAATTCCTCTTGCTAAAAGACACTTCCCAGAACCCAAAATGCACTTCAGGAGGTAATATGCTCTACAGCAAACTCTTCCAACAAACAGATCTTTTCTTATTTTAAAGAACCTAATGAGAAAGAGAGTAAATGGCTTCCTTCAGAAATAGTTTCCATTAGTCATGATTTATCAGGAATTTCTTCATATCCCTTAATATCATGAAACCTTTCCCTTTGTCTCCTTTCTCTCTGAATTTGCACTACAGTAAAACACTGACCAGTCATTCATTCACAGTCACCATTCATTGAGCAGCCACCGTGTGCCTGTATTATATATCAACACATTAATGGGTACTTCATCATTCAAAATAAAAACAAAATAAATATCGTTAGCCCCATTTCATTGATAATGAATTAAAGCAGTAGTTCAGAAAGGCTATATTAACTTGCCCAACTTCTGGTAATATAGCTAGTAAATGCTGGAGCCAGCATTTAAACCTCATGTTCTATCTTCTTAATTAGTGATGGAAACCAAGGTCAACACTCCTCTTAGGGAGATATCATTATTCTGCAGTAGAATGTTTACCACATGTTTGACTAGGACCCTTTGGCTTACATGTCCAGGTTGATGCAATAGGCAGTGTCACAATGCCAGTAAGTCAGTGGACTAGCTCAGAACAGAATTTAGAACACATGTGACCCAGACCACCCAGACATTTGAAGAACCTTAATGGGATTTCAAGTTTATTTTCTTCTAATGTGAGTATTGAATTCTCAGTTAATACAGCACTCACAGATGATAGAGAAGAACCAAACCTCTAGAGATTTAAATGGCTTCTCCTATTTCACACACATGCACACGTGCACACACACACACACACACACACACACACACACAGGGTATACTGGAGTGAATTTGTAGATTACTGCTAGTTCCTTGGCTCCATCCACAAATAACTGATTTGGACTGAAGTCTTGGGAAGATGAATTGATGATAAACAAATACACACATACAGGAAATAGAAGGAGAGATAGTAAAATCCAAAGGGCACTCTCTCTCCAACAGTCAAATCTACAAAAATCAAGATGCTGCCTCTTTACAAATAAGGCATTGTTCCAGATATCAGTGGACTATAAATGATTTGAGGATATAAATTACAGTGCTTCAGTCCCCACCACAGCATAGCACCCTGCAAAATGGCAGCCATACTATCAACTCTCAACAGATATTGATTGGATAATTTTGTAATAATGTATGAGATTCCCCTCTGAATTAGAGTAACCTGTTCTACAACTAAACCAGGTGTGCAGGCATATGATCAAGGATGAATGTGGAGGCAGATGAGTTACCACCCTCTTCCCCTATACTGCTATGTACTCTGATACCAGTGCCTCTACCACAGATTTCACCTCCAAATTTCGAATTTCTGGAAATTTCAATGGCATAAGAAGAGCTGTTTTGACACTGCCTCAAAAATCAGTTTCATTTTGTTCATGTGGATTCAAAAAAAGAAGGACTAAAAGAAATATTACAAAACTCAGTCCTGGCATCATTTGAGGAGCCCAAGTAGAGAGCACCATTGCTTTTTCCATTTCTGCATGGCAACCTTACAGATGGAGCCTTTACTAGGTGGAAGAGGCCTCTGCATGGCTTCAGTGTATTTTGCTCCTAGTTTTGCTCTAGCTTGTCCTACATTATTTTTTCTGCTAACTTCCTGAAAGTTGGACAAAGGAAACTTACTTTTTGGCATGACTGCTATTATGGTCTAGTAACTTGGTTCTGGAATGAAGGACCATATCGTTCAAAAACACTTTGCTAGTTGGCACAAAAACAGACACTCAGATCAATGGAGCAGAATAGAGAACCCAGAAATGGACCCACAAACATACGGCCAACTCATCTTTGACAAAACAGGAAAGAATATCCAATGGAATAAAGACAGTCTCTTCAGCAAGTGGTTCTAGGAAAACTGGCCAGCGACATGCAGAAAAATGAACCTGGACCACTTTCTTACACCATACACAAAAATAAACTCAAAATGGATGAAAGGCCTAAACATAAGACAGGAAGCCATCAAAATCTTCTAGGAGAAAACAGGCAAAAAGCTCTTTGACGTTGGCCACAGCAACTTCTTACACAATACCTCTTTGGAGGATAGAAAAACCAAAGCAAAAATAAATTATTGGGACCTATTCAAAATAAAAAGCTTCTGCACAGTGAAGGAAACAATCAGCAAAACTGACAGGCAACCGACAGAATAGGAAAAGATATTTGCAAATGACATATCAGATAAAGAGTTAGTATCCAAAATTTATAAAGAACTTAGCAAACTCAACACCCAAAAAACAAATAATCCAGTGAAGAAATGGGCAAAAGACATGAATAGACACTTCTCCAAAGAAGACATCCAGATGGCCAACTGACACATAAAAAAATGCTCAACATCACTCAGCATCAGGGAAATACAAATCAAAACTACAATGAGATACCACCTCACACCTGTCAGAATGGCTAACATGAACAACTCAGGCAACAACAGATTTTGGCAAAGATGCAGAGAGAGAGGATCTCTTTTGCACTGCGGATGGGAATGCAAACTGGGGCAGCCACTCTGGAAAACAATATGGAGGTTTCTCAAAAAATGAAAAATAGGGGGCACCTGGGTGGCTTAGTCGGTTAAGCGTCCGACTTTCACTTAGGTCATGATCTCACGGTTCGTGGGTTCGAGCCCTGCGTCGGGCTCTGTGCTGACTGCCAGCTCAGAACCTGGAGCCTGTTTCAGTTTGTGACTCCCTCTCTCTCTGACCCTCCCCTGCTCACGCTGTCTCTCTCTCTCTCTCTCCTAGAAATAAATAAAACATTAAAAATAAATTAGATAAAAAATGAAAAATAGAACTACCCTACAACCCAGCAATTGCACTACCAGGTATATATCCAAAGGATACAGGTGTGCTGTTCTGATGGAGCACATGCACCCCAATGTTGATGGCAGCACTCTCAACAATAGCCAAAATATGGAAAGAGCCCAAATGTCCATTGATGGATGAATGGATAAAGAAATTGTGGGATATATATATATATAGTCAGTCAGAGAAAGACAAATATCATATGACTTCACTCATATGAGGACTTTAAGACACAGACAGATGAACATAAGGGAAGGGAAGCAAAAATAATGTAAAAACAGGGAGGGAGACAAAACATTAGAGACTTTTAAATATGGAGAACAAACAGAGGGTTACTGGAGGGGTTGTAGAAGGGGGGATGGGCTAAATGAGTAAGGGGCATTAAGGAAGCTACTCCTGAAATCATTGTTGCACTATATGCTAACTAACTTGGATGTATATTTAAAAAACAACAATACTTTGCTAGCTTCCTACATTACGTGACCCTTTCAAAAAGTTTCAATTTTTCTGTGGTTCCACATTGTCATTCTGGTTAGACCTGTGAGCTTCTCAAGAATGAAAGATATCATGTTTATATATGTTCCACTGAACCAAGATTATTCTGGTAGTTTGATTCATATTAAAAAAGGGCCAGGGGTGCCTGGGTGACTCAGTCAGTTGAACATCTGACTCTTGATTTCCACTCAGGTTATGGTTCATGAGATCAAGCCCCACATCAGGCTCTGTGCTTGGGATTCACTCTGTTCTTCTCTCTGTACCTTTCCCCAGCTCACACTCTCTCTGTGGCTCTCTCAAAATAAAAATTTTTAAATGGCCATGTTGGGGCACCTGGGGGGCTCAGTCAATTGAGCATCCATCTCTTGATTTCAGTTCAGATTATGATCCCAGGGTTGTGGGATCAAGCCCCACATCAAACTTCATGAGCATGGAGCCTGTTTAAGAACTTCCCACCACCACCGCCACTCTCTTCCTCTCTCTCTCTCTCTCTCAAAAAAAATTTTTTTTAATTTAAAAAAGAGAGGGTTCGGGGCATCTGGGTGGCCCAGTTGGTGAAGAGTCCAACTTAAGCTCAGGTTGTGATCTCCTGGTTCATGAGTTCAAGCTCCACATCAAGCTCTCAGAGCCTGGAGCTTGCTTCAGATTTTTGTCTCCCTCTCTCTATGCCCCTCCCCCTCTCCAAAAAAAAATAAACTTACAGAAAAAGGGGGTGACTGCTATAAAGCTTCATTTTAAAAAGGGGAGGGCATATTAAAATCCAAAGGAATTTTTAAAAATATCAAGAATACCAAGGAGCTCCTAAATATAGAAAGCAAATATTAACAGACCTAAAGGGAAAAGTAGACAACAATATAATAATAGTGGAGGACTTCAATACCCTACTCTCATCAATAGACAGATCATCCAGACAAAATTGATAGGAAACATTAGACTTCAATGACACATTAAACCAGATGGACTAACAGGCATTTATAGAACCTTTCATCCAACAGCAGCAGAATACACATCCTTCTCAAGCACGCATGAAACATGCTCCAGGGTAAATCATACATTAAGCCACAAAAAAAAGTCTTAATAAATTTGAGATTGAAATTATATCAAACATCTTTTCCAACCAAAATGGTATGAAACTACAAATTAATTAAAAGAAGAAAACTTAGTAATTTAACAAATATATAGAGAGTAAATACCATGCTATCAAAAACCAATGGGTCAAATAAGAAATCAAAAGATAAACCAAAAAATACCTTGAAACAAAGGAAATGAACCACAACATACTAAAACTTATAGGACGCAACACCTACATTAGGAAGAAAGAAAGATTTCAAATAAATAACCTAACAAGGAACTAGAATAAATTTTTAGAAACCAAGCCCAAAGTTAGTAGAAAAAAAGTAATAAAGATCAGAGTAGAAATAAATAAAATAGAAATGAAAAAAGACAATAGAAAAAATAAAACTAAAAGCAGGGTTTTTTTGAAAATGTGAACAATATAGACAAGTCTTTAGCTACAGTAACCAAGAAAAAGAGAGGACTCGGGGATTCCTGTGTGGCTCAGTCAGTTAAGCGTCCAACTTCAGCTCAGGTCATGATCTCACAGTTTGTGGGTTTGAGCACCGCGTTGGGCTCTGTGCTCACAGCCAGCTCAGAACCTGGAGCCTGTTTCAGATTCTGTGTCTCCCTCCCTCTCTCTCTGACCCTCCCCTGCTCACGCTGTCTCTCTCTCTCTCTCTCTCTCTCTCACACACACACACACAAATAAATAAAACAATAAAAAAAATTTTTTTAAAGAAAAAGAGAGGACTCAAGTAAATAAAATTATAAATGAAGGGGAAACATTACAAGTAATACCATACCAAAAAAAAAAAAGGATTGTAGGAGACTACTATAAACAACTACTGTAAAACTTTGGATTGTGAGCAACTTGTTCTGTGAGTGTTCCAAAAGATGAACAAACATTTCTAATAAATTTTAACTTGATAAATGAGTGATGGCTTGCAATGTGAGTAGTACCTGATACCAAATGTCACATGATCACAACTGAGCCAATGGTTCTTGAAATTCACTTTTATATATGAGTACTTTGGATTACAAGCGTGTTTCCAAAACTAATTATGCTCACAAACCAAGGTTTTACTACATATACTACATATGCCAACTAATTTGACAACCTAGAAAAAAATAATAAATTCTTATAGATATACAACTAACCAAGACTGAATCATGAAGAAATAGAAAATCTGAGCAGACCAATTCCTAGTAAAAAGACTGAATCATCAATAAAAAATCCCCAATGAAGAAAAATCCAAAATCATATGACTTCATGGAAGGATTCTACCAGACATTTAAATAAATAAAAACTAATACCAGTCTTTCTCAAATTCTTCCAAAAATAGAAAGGAATACTTCCAGACTCATTTTAGGAGGCCAGCAATACCGCGATACCAAAAGCAGACAAGGACATTACAATAAAATTATAGGCCAATATCCTTGATGAACATAGATGCAAAAAAATACTCAACAAAATATTAGCAAACCAAATTCAGCAATACATTAACAGGATTATACACTAAAATCAAGTGGTATTTATTTCAGGGATGCAAGAATGGCTCAACATCCACAAATTAATCAATATGATACAACACTTTAACAAAATGAAGGTTAAAAATTATAAGGTCATCTCAATAGATGCAGAAAATGTGTTTGATAAAGTTCAACATCTATTCATGATAAAAACTTTCAATGAAGTGAGTATAGAGGAACTAATTCAATATAACACCATAGCTTGTGCTCATACTCAAAATCATATTCAGTGATGGGAAATGAAAAGTTTTTTTTTTTCTAAGATCAGGAAAAAGACAAGGATGTCCATTCTCACTATTTTTATTCAACGTAGTACTGGAACTCTTAGTCATAACAATCAGACAAGAAAAAGAATTGAAAGTCATCCAAATTGAAAAAGAAGTAGTAAAAGTGTCTTCAGCGAAGAAGACAAAAATAAATGAAAAGATATACATTGTTCGTGGATGGGAAAAATTAATATTGCTAAAATGTCCAACTACCCAAAGCAATCTACAATCCAGTGTCAACCCTACAATGGCATTTTCAGAGATAGAACAAATAATCCTAACATTTGTATGGAAGAGAATTGTGTGGAATAGAATAGTCAAAGCAATCATGAGCAAGAATAAAGCTAAAGGCATCACACTTCCTGATTTCAAACTATATTACAAAACTTTAGCAATCAAAACAGTATAGTACTGGCATAAAAACAGGCACATAGATGAATGGAACAGAATAGAGAGTCAGGAAAAAACCCACCCATATATGGCCAATTAATTTATGACAATGGAGCTAAGACTATGCAACAGGAAAAGGGCCATTTCCTCAATAAATGGTGTTAGGAAAACTGGACAGCCACATGCAAAAGAATAAAACTGGATCACTTTCTTATAGTATACACAAAAATAAACTCAAAATGGTCTAAATATTTGTATATAAGGCCTAAAACCATAAAACTCCTAAAAGTAAACATAGGAGGTAATCTCCTTTACATCAGTCTTGGCAATGATATTTTTTATTTGACACCAAAAGTGAAAGCAAAAAAAGCAAAAACAAACAAGTGGGACAACATTAAACTGAAAGCTTCTGCTCAGCAAAGGAAACCATAGATAAAATGAAAAGGCAACCTACCAAGTGGTAGAGAATATTTGCAAAGCATATAAAGGATTAGAGGTTAATATCCTAAATAAATATTCATACAACTCCATAGGAAAAAAAGCAATCAAATTAAAAAATAGGCAGAGAATATGAACAGACGTTTTTCCAAAAACATACAAATGGCCAATAGATATGTGAAAAGATGTTCAACATCACTAATCATCAAGGAAATGCAAATCAAAAACACAGTGAAATATCACCTCAGCTGTGTTAGAATGGCAACTGTCAAGAAGATAAGAAATAAGTGCTAGCAAAGATATGAGAACAGGAAATCCTTGTACACTACTAGCCGGAATGTAAATTGGGGCAAACACTAGTGAAAATAATATGGAGGTTCATCAAAAAAATTAAATATAGTACTACCATATGATCTAGCAATTCTATCTCTGGGCATTTATTCCAAGGAAACAAAATTGCTATCTCAAAACCATATATGCACCCCCATGTCCACTGTAGCATCAGCTTCAATAGCCTAAACACAGAAACCACCTAATGGTCCATTGATGGATGAATGGGTAAAGAAAATGTGATATATAAATATTATAATTTTAATATATGGAATAACGGAATATTACTTAGCCATAAAAAAGAACATCTTGTCATTTGGGACAACATGCATGGACCTCAATGACATTATGCTAAGTGAAATAAATCAGACAAAGAAAATATTGTTATGATCTCACTTATACATGGAATCAAAAAAACAAAAACCAAACTCATAGAGAACAGATTGTGGTTGCCAATGGCAGAAGGTGGAGGAGTTGGTGAAATGGGTGAAGGTCATCAAAAGATACAAACTGTCATTTATGAGATAAATAAGTCCTGAGGATGTAATGTACAACATGTGACCACAGCTCACAATACTGTGTCATATATTTGAAAGTTGCTGAGAGTGTAGATCTTAAAAATTCTTATCACATGAAAAAAATGCTGTTAACTATGTGTGGTGATGGGTGTTAACTAAACTTATTGTGGTGACCACTTAGCAATTCATGCTTATGGTCAAATCATTACAATGTAATGAACACAGTGTTATCTGCCACTTAAATCTCAATAAGGTATATATTATTTTTAAAAAAAGAAAAGAACAACATCTATGGTCAGCATTCACATACAATTCACGGTTCCTCAACTACAGGTGCCCTGGAATTGAAACCACTTGGGAAGACATTTCAGAAAATGGACTTGAATGGAAATACGTAAGCAAACAAAACCTTTTCCCCTAGGGAGAAGAGAAAAAGAAGCTGAAGTGTCTAACGCTACCAGGAAGTGCCCATCCACAAACGTGAAGTAATAAGGAAAAGGAAAACATGGGAAACAGATTGCCCTGGGGAATAGAGGTATTATCATGAATCCTACTTTATCTCCTTTGAATTGTAGACATCCATGAATTTAGCAGTATCTCCAAAACATTTTTGAAAATCCATAAAATATATTTTAAATTTCAGGTAAACTGTACCAGACTTGGCAAACAGAAACCTCCTTGCCAAAGGGTTTAAATTGGACAATTTCTAGAAAACCATGCTCTCTCTAAGCTAGACAGAAAGTAAAGGCCTTACATATGTTGAGAAGCTTTATCACACAATAAATGCCCATATTTTTATATGATATTCAATTTTTTCTTTGTTAAATTATTTTCATAAAGAATTTCAAATGTCCCCCCCCAAAAAAAACCCAGCTACCAATCATCCAGCTTCAATAATCAACGACATTTTGCTATACTTGTTTAACAATAGTAACCTTTTTTAAGCTAGAATAGATTAAAACAAGTCCAAGTGTTCAAGTCATTTTGCCACTAAATACTTCAATAGACCGTAAAAAGAAAAGACTATTCTGGCACATAACCATAATGTCATTAGCACACTCAACAAATTAATCATCTGATACCCAACTTCATAAAAGTTCCTCAAATATCTAAAGCAATCTTTTTTGCCATTAAGTTTAGATGCAACACTGTATAAGGTATTACATGTCTTCATGTCTCTCTTATATTTCTTTCACACTAGAACATTCCCCTCCCTCTTCCCTGTTCATCCCATGCCATTGGGTAGTTGAAGAAAATGGATTCATAGTCTTGAAGAAATTGCCACACTCTGAATTTGGTTGCAAAGCCATTTCTTAAGCTTTGAACACTCTGGCCAGCTGAGATACCCCAAAGGAGTATACCTTGGTCTTGTGGGCATTCTGTTTTCACTCGTTTAGGGAAACAGTCAAGTGTATATAACCTGAGTGTCCACACGACCCTGTTGCCCTAGATCCAGGTGGAAAGATGAAACTGATCACTTAGAATCCGAAGACACAGCCTTTCCAGGAGAGATCTCTAATAGATTTCACAGGAGAGCCGGAGGACCAGAGGAGTGTCCCCACAACTCAGTTATGAGAAAGAGCAGCCTGGGGCTGTGTAGGGGCTCTGCTGGGAAAGAACAAAAGTTGATTGTTGAAGGGGGAGAAAAACAGTATTTATTTCCTAAAGAGGAAGTTCCAATCACAGACAAATATATAGGACTTGCTGAGGCTTAAAATCAGGGGCTTAATGTCTCTTGCTGGAAAGGCACGTAGCAAGAAGCAGCCTGGGTCCTCTGAAGCATTTGTTTCTGTCTACTCAGTCCCATTCCTTTCTTTGTATTTGCAGACACAGAGCCCAGGATCTGCAGATTAGAAACAGTAGTCAGGATAATGTTTGTACAGCATCTCATTCCAGGCAGCTCAGAGCATTGGCAGGCGGGGTCTTCCTCAAGACACTAGAACTCCCAGGTGGGAGGGGTTTATGGGATAGCAAGGGGGCCTGCTCTACGCACCTCCCCAGTAACTCAGTAGTCCCGAAGACCCGTTTGGGCCACCTCTTGCACACCTGCTTTCAAGGTGGCTCCTTTAGTTTCAATCTGGGCTACTTGTGAGGTCCAGTTTCCTCACCACAATCTAAGTGAGACAGAACCAGAGCCCCTTGGAGCAATTAGAAATGAAACTCCAAGATACACCGTCTGGAAGAATAGCTCAAACGAAAATATGCCTGTGACTCAGGTCCAGTGAACAAACACTGGCTCACTGTCAGCTTCATGCCAGGCTTAGAGCTTAGCACGAAGGGACGAGGAGTAAAGAGCATATTCCAGACCTGGCCTCTGGCAGCTGTTAGTCGGGGCACAGCTGGGTTCTGTCTATCTCTGATCTGTTTCTACAAAGTACTTCCCTAATGGATTACAATGTAAATTTTTATTCTGTAAGTTATGTTCTTGTTCATAGTGCGCTGTGCTATAAATAGATACTAAATAATTTGGGATAGTTATCTGGGATCTTTTGCCTAGGACTTTAAAGCATTTCACAAACACTGCCCGTGAATAGTAAATTAATTAGTATATTAATTCCTTGTTTACAAAAGGATAATAGCAGCAGGGTAATTAAAGTCAACTGATGAGGGGCACCTGGGTGGCTCAGTCATTTAAGTGTTTGACTTCAGGTCAGGTCATGATCTCACGGTTCATGGGTTCAAGCCCCACATCCAGCTTTGTGCTGACATCTTAGAGTCTGGAGCCTTAGAATTTTGGATTCTGTGTCTCCCTCTTTTCCTCTAGCATTCCGTCTTTGTCTCTCACAAATATATAAACATTTTTTTAAAAGTTTAAAGTCAGCTGATGGATGTCGGAGTAAAAACCTGACATCACTACTGATTTGCATTATGACCTCAGGCAAGTCACTCCCCATGTCCGAACCCTGGTGACCTCCCTGGATACAGCATTGTTAGCTAAAAGCCCTAAGACCCTTTCCTCCTCTCCCCAGTATTTGGAAATGTCATCACAGAAACTGTGGCAGATGCATTATTGATATGTAGGGACCAGGGCCGGAGGCTGTGTTTCCTGCATAGGAATGATTCACAGAAAAATATTTTCCTGCTGCAAACACCTAAAGACCCAAATGGCCCTGGGTAGTCATTTACACTCAGGTAAATAACCTCTAACCTCCTTCCCAGTGTGACAGTCTCTGTGCATCCATCTGAAAGTTTAGCCACAAAGGGATTAAGTTCTACGTTCAGGTAAGTCTGTCCTGTGCTCAGTGACATTTCAGAGGGTGTATCAGAACCAGAGGTGAGCAGAGAGAATTAGCAAGGGGACAACCATCTTCAAGTTCTTCAGGTCACCCAGATTTTGCTTGGGAAAAGCCCCGCCCACTGTTTCACTCAGATTTGCTTTTAAGTTCTATGCACGAATTTAATATTTGTAACCAGGTCAACTTGTGTGAACATGTTCACCACCCCAAGATCAACTCTGACAAAAGCAAGCAGGTCCCAGCTATCAGTGGAGCCTGAGCAACTATCAAGTTGAGCTGAACTCAGAAGTAAACAGCTGCAGCCAACCACTGAGAACAGGTTTAATAAGTTCCGGGTGGCTCACCTGCTAGCCATTGGCACACTTGAACTTTCAGATGGTTGTTGAGGCTGATCCCAGGTTGTTTACAATACTGCAGTCCTTTCCTTAGTAAATTATTTCTGTGTGTGCTAAGAGGCCTAAAATTCTTCACCATATATCTATATATAGTAGATATATATACCTACTACATATATACTCCTTTATGACCTGGAGAATCCATCACTGTTAGAAATCCCAATTACCTTTATATCATTCTTGAAGGTTCAGCCTCAATGAAATATCTCACACAGAGAAACCAAAAATCAAGCCCCCAAAATGTAATATGTTATTTTTCTAATATATAGGTCTAGCAGCCTGACTGCACTTAAAAAAAAAAATTCCGCCCAAAAGTTTTCAAAAATAACACATGAAACATAGTGAAAATTAACTTATTCAAGCCAGAAATACCTATTAACTTAGGCTTCTTGAGTTAAGTTGAAACAGATTTAGCACTTCTTCTCTTGGTTTCTAAAAGTCTTTGTCTTTAATTAAAAATAAAAACTGAAGCTAGATGATTGGTATTTTGACTTCCAACCAAGTGTTATTTCTGGTACAACTATACAGACTAAAACACCACTCACAGCACATCTTGTGCATTTTTATGTGAATGTTTGTTTATAGTCATCTCGTGTTGGCTCCACACCATCATATCTTGCTCCGCATCAAGTATGCATATGTGTTGATCTCCCTCTCGCTGTCTGTAAGTCTATTCCAAGTTTCTAGTGGAGAATCTTGATGGAGAACCCAGGGAGGGGCCAGCAGACAAGGACACTGTGCTAACACCCACCACCTTCTCCAAGGGGTGGGCTCACTAAGGGCACTGAGAAGTGGGCCACTCCAGACTCAGGAGATCCCAACTGGTTTGCCTTGACCTTGAGCTAAAAAAGACTCTCCAGAGCCACTGAGACATCATGGATAAAGCATAGAGTTTGAAGACAAATGACTCAGATCTAAATATTAACTCCACCATTTCTTACAAATCAATCAAATCCTCTGAGTGCCAGTTTCTTCCTCTAACGTGGCAGGTTATGGTAACGAGCAAATGAGGGACTATAAAGAGGGAAGGGCTCTGAAAACTGCAAACCTGCAAATTAATGCTCATTGTTGAGACGGTGATGGGTGTACTGGGGCTCAGGGCCAGGACCAGCTGTGGGCTTCCCACCATCTGAGGCTGTCTGGCATTAGGGCAAGAATGAGATGGGGAGTTTGAGGCAGCAAACCAGGAGGTGTCCCGAGGTCAAGTTAACATGGCTGGTTACCAAGTCTAAAGGAAACGAGTGTTGGGGCCGGCTGGTGAGGAGAGGAGAAGGAAGATGGGAAGGAAGAGAAAGAGGAGGGGGAGGAGGAGGTTAGGGGTAAGGTGGGGCATTGGGTTGGGACGTGAAGGACATAGAGCTGGATAAATGGATGCGGATGCCAGACTAGAGAGAGGGCTCCATAGATGGAGGGATTGTGACATGGGCATGCGGCAGGAGGGACAACCTGAAGCTGATTCAGGCCAAATGTTGCCATCTCTGGATCCCTATCTCTTCCTTCTCCTTATGGGCTGTTGGACACAGAGACTTCAACTTCCTGCTTTGTCACCCCTGAAAATAATTAAAAACTACATGTCTTCTCACACCCTTTAAAGTTAACATCTAGAATATTTCTTCATTGTTTAAATAGTTACAAAGAATGTAACTTCTGCTGAATGGGCATACAGTAAAAAATAAAACTCGTATGACCATCACAAATGTTTCCAGTACAATATAATACCATAGTGATTTGACAGCTACCATAATTCATTTTTTATGTTTATTTACTTATTTTGATAGAGAGAGAGAGAATCCCAAGCAGGCTCCAGCATGGAGCTGACCTGGGGCTCAATCTCACAAACTTTGAGATCATGACCGGAGCCAAAACCAAGAGTTGGTTGCTTAATCAGTAGAGCCACCAGGAGC